TTTTATTTCAACTGTGAGGATCATTGTCTCCCTTCCCCCTACCCCAACCCACCCATATCCTGAAATAGCAAAGCAAAAGAGATCCGATTGAGTGCTCATAATATGGAGTAATAGGATTAGCTACTCGGTCTGCGAAATAGTCACTGGAGCTTATGGAACTAATAGTTCACAAAGCAATCAACTCTCCCAACCCAAAGAAAACGATTACACTTACCGTGCAAAATCAAAAGTAAGTCACAAATGATCAAGAGCCTGAAAACTGTTAATCATGTTTTACAATCACAAAAGTCCACAAAATTTTCTTGAAAAGATGAATTAGGAATAAAATTTCTCTAACTGCCCCTTTACCCTTCTAGTTGTTTTTCTTTTCAAGGGGTTGTGTATCTATCAACAAAAATCATAACTCAAATCACTTCTCTAATTGTTCACTGATTACTGCTGCCCAAAAGTTCCATTTTGACATGCAATCGCTGACCAATAATACAGCAGCACAGATAAAAGGAAAAAGGGATTTAAAAAAGAAAATGTGGATGGAACTAACCAGGCAAATCCCAGGGCTCGAATTTGCAGATATCAATTTCACGAATAACACCCACTTGATCATGACAACCATTGATCTTCAAGCACAAATAATGATTGATAAGCTCCTCATCCGTAGGACGAAAACGATATCCAATGGGTAAAGTATTCAACGGTGGAACTTCCACCACCTGATTGCCCACCGGAGTTACAGTCATTACCAAGATCCAAACTTTTTAACACAGAAAACGAAGAAACTTTGATGGATTTTTTTCTCAAAAGTAGATTCTGTAAGGTGAATCGAGAAATTCAAAGTAGAAAAATGAATAAAGGGGTCGATGTGTAAAACCCTTTAATTGAATGAGATGAGAAATGGGGGAATTTCCCAATAGATAATACTACAGAACATGAAACATCGCAGAAAGTGACATAACTGATGTAGACTTGATTTACCCAAAATCAAACCGCGTAACGAATACCGCGTAGAATCAGATTGTTACAGTCACTGTGGCAACGATGAAAGTCATCAGTATTCAGTCATGGCGCCAGTAGCAGACCTACACGTCGGATCAAATCCTAAATTAATTGCCACCATTTCAATTTTTATTATTATTATATTTTTTTTACCATTATAAATTTCACTTTCTTAAAAAAAATTATTATTGCAACCTTTAAAATATGTCATAAATTATTAGTTTTTTTTCCAAAATATTGATAGTCTTGAAAAATACTATGTTATTCAACTAATTATACGTAGATACAATCCACTCATGATCTACTAAATGACATAGTATCAGTAAGTAGTGTCAAACTCTTATAAGTTAAAAAAAAATATTAAAAACGCCTCTCTATATATTTTATTCATAATTATAAAATTGAATATACTTAAGTTCAATTAGTTAAATAATATTCTTGATCAATTAAAAGTTAGGACTATCTAAAAATATTTCTAACCAACTGAAGTTAATTTAATATACCTCTATTAAATCTAAGTTAAAATTTCTAAGGTAGAAAAATATAAGTGAGAAAGTCATATTTAACAATAAAAACAATTATCGACCAATAGATAATGAAATAAAATATAAAATAAATTGTAAAGTTTCTAGAATCTACTTGGACCGGGCCATTCCACAATCAATCCTATTCCTCTAACTTATATTAAAGGATATATTCTACAAGTCACAATTTTGAAAGAGTCTTTTATAAAATTTATTTTTTTAAAAAAAATATTTATTATTTATTTATAAGAAATATTTTTATTTATAAGAAAATTTTTATTTTACATGTAAAAGATTTACAAAAAAGTTCTTTTTTAATTGAATTTGAAAATGATTATAAGAGATTATTTTTGTGAATTTCGGCTCATCCATATGTTTATGTCATTAATAGGATGAGACATGTTTATTTATCTATTTATATTTACATTATAATAATTATAAGTCTGTAATATGCTCCCTTGTGTATGAGTTTAATTATTTTTGGGTCAAACACATAGATATTCTTCCAATTAATTTTTTTTTTATAATCATTCACAAACAAAGAAATAAAATAGTGAGGTTAGTCAAATATCACAAATACAAAAATTGAATTAATCAATAAATAAAAAAGTAAACCAAAAAAAAAAAAAAGAAGATATATTAACTCATGTTTACCTGAATTTAAAGTGGTACATTGCTCGTATACCTACTCCCATAAGTGAGACGTCTATTCTTGGTGGATCATTAATTTATCTATCGTGATATTTACTTCATTTTAAAATAAGTGGTGTTTTTAATTGAGACATATTTTCAAGGGTAACTTTCATATATATTAAATAAAAAATTTATATTTGTCATAATTGCGCTCAATAGCAAACATAGAAACTATATAATTCGCTATATCTATACAGTTGAAGCAAATTGTATAAAACAAGAAAGAGAAAGACACTTGGACATAGAACTGTATAAAAACAAAGTGTATAAAATGAATTGTATTATTATAAGTGTATAGAACGATTATATACAATTTGAATTTGTATAAAATGAGAAAGAGAGAAAGACAAAAGAGACTTGACAAGGAATATACAATTGAATTAGAGAAAGAGAGAAATTAGATACAATTTGAAAATTGTATAAAACGAGAAAGAGATAAAGGCAAAAGAAACTGGGCAGGGGAGTACTTTTATTGTATAATTATAAGTGTATAGGACGAAAATATATGTACTTGCATGTGTATATATAATTTTCTCACGCTTTATACAAACAGAAACGCAATGTATACATTTCGCTTCTATTGTATAAGTGAGAAAGGCGAGGGTGGCGAGCGAGATTTGGGAGAGTGGCGAGCCAGATCTGGAAGAGGGGAGAGAGGGGAACAAATATATATATATTTATACAATTTTCTCTGCTTTATACAATTAGAAACAATTTTTATACACTTGTGTTTGTATAAAAAGTGAGGAAGCGAGCGATAGATTGGAGGAGAGTGGCGAGCGATAGATTTGGGAGAGAGGCGCTGGCAATTTTTTGCAAACGTTTGCTATGGAGCACAATTAAATCAAACCCTAGCTACTCCATTTATTTTAGGTTATTAATTTGCTATTATATATACAACTTTCCCTACTTTCAAAGGAGTCTCACATTTTAAGTTAGCTAATGGTTCTTGATTATGTAAACAAAAATTATTTTTAAAAAACGAAGATTAATTTCTTCTTAAAATTTTAAAACATCACTTATTTTTGAAACGTGTGATTACATTTGTACATGATTTCAATATTGCCTCTTGAGTAGTTTTGAGACAATTGAGTCTTTGGACCAAACACAATAATTAACAAAAATGTCATTTTCAATCTTTTTTCCTTCTAAGCTAATTAACAATTGGTATGTGGGAAGAAAGTATAAACAGACAAAAAGTACCTTGTTTAATTAGACTCCAAATTTTAGTGTATTGTTTTGTTGTATTTTAATATCATGAAAAGGATTGGAAGAACCTTACGCCTTAAGCTATGCAAAGGTCTTGGTCAAGGCCCAAGGGAAATTGCACGTTGTTAAAATGAATTTTGAGTTCGATGATAAATTCAGAATATTTAAATTTTGATTTTAGTATGTTTTATTATAATTTAAAAGTAAGACCATTGAACTTTTTATTCTCAATATTTTTTTATTTTTACGAGTGTAGTTAATCTTTTGAAAAGTAACAATTGATTGATTATCCACACAAAGTTGAATAGAGAGCTCCAATGTATTATATATCAAAAGACGTGACGTAATCTAACAGTTCGTTTTGACTACCGCTTTAAAAGATTCTCTGTCAAGTGCTTTTATATATTTTTACTACAATATATAAAGTAGGAGCGGACATTGTCAATATTGAAATGTTTGATATATTACATCATGTCTATAAAAAAAGTATTTTGATATGGTTTTCAATTGAAGTACTTTGTAGTATTGTAAATAGATAATCCTAATTTAATTCGTAGTTGACTTACATATAATCACACGATAGGAAGTCATAAATATCTCAACTATATCATATTAATTGCACCTTAAACATATAGAGACATTCAAAAAAACGTACAAAATGTTTCTCATCGTGTAGATCAATTTCATACGCTAAAATGATCAATCAAAATATAGTAGTCAATGTTTTAATATCTAAACAGTTTATTTTATACTGATACTAATGTATACATTTGTGAGCATAATACAATATATTTAAATTGTATTGTAATTACATACTTTTGTCACTAAATTAAGTAATTTTTCTATAACACCATATCAAAATTAGGTTTACTTGGATAAATCACCTAGAAGAGTAAAGTTCGCAAAATGTTAAAAGAGTTGAAATCGCAAAAAAAGTTAAGCAAAATTTTTAAAAGTGCAACAATAATTGTGTATCAAATTATATGTACATGGCATTCCTGACCAATTCTATGCTAATAATATTTTTCTAATGCACACTTCCCAAACTATTCCCATTCTTCTTTTATTAATTTGGAGAGGGGAACTAGTTGGATTTGAGACGGGTCAGGTTTGAAATAGCTTACGTGTGTAATGATGAACTATTTTATTGAATTCAGTTTAAATTTTTGAACGTTACGACAGTTATTATATACGAATAACTATGCCTATCAAAGTTCGGATAAGTTTTTTTTACTGAGATAGACTCTGTACATCTTTATACAATCAAAATTTTTGAATCTACTCCAACTAATTCAATTCTTTACGGTATCCATTCAAAGACAAAACAGGACCAAGTCCCACCATAGTTTCAATAATTCACAAGTTTCAGGTTTTTGTTTAATTTTTTACGCTCCCACCATGCTTGTATAACTTGTCCTTTTTGCTATATACATTCAATTTGTTTTCCTGTCTCGAACAATACTGGCGGATTCAAAATTTTTACTAAAACGAGTTTGAAAAATAAAAGCATAGTGTATGAAGTGCACTTGAAATCTCAGGTCGAATTTTGAATCCTCTTATACACTTAGCCAAACTCTATTTTTCTCATTTGTGTTGGGAGATTCAAAATTAATCTATGTACGTAAAAAAAATTTAAAAAATTATCTTATATTTATATATAGAATTCTTAAATGGATTCGAATGAACATCCTGACAACACCTAAATTCACCGAAAATGAACAACCTATGGTCCACGATTGTAGAGAACATGACAAATCCCACAAATACCCCTCACATGCATCATCTTATCTCTCAATAAATTTTTATCTCTCAAAAATTTAATTTCCATATCCACACTACATTCAAAGCACCTCCCCAATGTGTGCTTGTTTGCACCAATACATCTCTCACATTTATTTATAGCTCCATCTTATATACTGACCTTTTCAATGAACACACACACACATATATACAACAACAAAACCAAAATTGTTAGAAAATGGTGAATTACAAGGGGGGGAAATTGTTGAAGCACCAAAGGAACAGAGTTAGCTTTTCAGCTAAATTGCCTGAAGATGTTCGCGGGGCGTTCGCGGATAGTACATGTGTTGTGAAGTACTCAATGGATCCATTGACAGATATAAAAGAATCTATAAAAGAGATGGTGAAAAATGTTGGCATTAAAGATTGGAAAGAGATGGAGGAATTGGTGTACTGTTACATTGTTCTTAACTCTGAAGAGGTGCATTGTTTTATAAAAGAGGCTTTTCTTAGTTTATGCTCTTAGCTTCCTTCTTATATAGGTTTTATTATATGCTATTCATTTTTAGCATTTTTTTATGTTTGTTTATTTTATAGACAATGTGAACGGATGTTTACACGATTAATGCAATTTAAAGTGTTGTGAGAGGTTATTATATATGTACACCTCGTTTTAGTAGTTTTATGATATTTTGTTTAATTCCGAAAATTTATGTTCCCGTTATTCCGAAAATACCACTATCTTGAAGAACAAGACACAGTATAACATAACTTGAGGAAGAAACTTCATTTTGTTGCTATTTGCTCTTACTCTAATTATCTAAAATTTTACTAACCCGTTCTCCAATCGAATTTCAATATGAATATCGGAAGATCAAGCTCTGTGAACAAGCTTTGGCTGCTAAATCATCACATTCATTCACGAACAATATCCACAACAACTTCTTCTCTAGTTACGAAGCAAACCTCCAAGCAGCTGCCGTCACGTCACCTATCTCCTTCCTTTACTTCCACTACCGTCCGCCATTTTTTCTTCCGTTCTCGAGATCCATATGCCAAGTAACTAATTGTTGTTTTTTTTTCAAAATTTCGTATATGTGTGATTTTTGATTTTTTGTGTTGTGATGAAGGTATCACGTTCGGGTGCCGTTGAATTTGGGAATTCGTATAGTGCCTGAGAAAAAGGCGCATGTAGTTGAACGATTTGGGAAATATGTGAAGACATTGACTCCGGGAATTCACTTTTTGATCCCTTTTGTTGATCGAATTGCGTATGCGCATTCTCTCAAGGAAGAGACTGTTCCGATACCTAACCAGACTGCGATTACTAGAGACAATGTTAGCATTTCGATTGATGGTGTTCTTTAATATCAAGGTTTAATCTCTATGAGTACTTCTTATACTTTTTGCGCGAATTTCTCTTGAAATTTTTAAAAATGCTGGAGATTTGTAGACTGTATCCAAAATTGGCGTCATATGGAGTTGAGAATCCATTGTATGCGGTAATTCAACTAGCACAGACAACTATGCGTAGTGAGCTTGGTAAGATCTCACTTGATAAAACCTTTGAGGAAAGGGACACTTTGAACGACAAAATAGTGGTAAGTTTTTTAATAGAATTTTATGATCAGAAAATAATAGGGGTTGGCCTTTTGCACTTTCACTGTGAAGTGTGTAATTATGACATGTTAATTGTTTTAGCTCCGCGTTTTCCTTGCAGCTGGCCATTAATGATGCTGCAAAAGACTGGGGACTGAAATGTCTTCGTTATGAAATAAGTATGTGGCATGTTCTACTGATTCCTTCATTGCTTACAAAAGCAATTATGGTTCTTCATTGATGAATATGTATGTTTCCTCTTCAGGGGATATAACTCCACCTCGTGGGGTTAGATCAGCTATGGAGATGCAAGCTGAAGCGGAACGTAAAAAAAGAGCTCAAATTTTTGAGTCAGAAGGTACCAGTTCCTCACCCTGATTTGAGCAATGTGAAGTAATTCATTGTGCCATATGTATGACACTTTAACGTATCAAACTTGATGTGTATTGTCATCTAAAATAGGGGAGAGACAGGCAAATATAAACATTGCCGATGGAAGGAAGAGTTCAGTGATCCTTGACTCAGAAGCTGCAAAGATGGACCTGGTCAACAGAGCACAAGGTTGGTAAAAGATGTTGCCAAGTGTGTTATCTCAAACTTGTTTTATAGATTCCCTCACCCATACTATCTGGTGAATCAGGTGAAGCTGAAGCCATTCTCTCTAAAGCACAAGCTACGGCAAAAGGAATTGCGTTGGTGTCACAAACCCTTAAAGAGCATGGAGATGCAGAGGTGAGATCCCTAAGTTCATGCCCGCGTCTTTTTACCATGACGCTGTAATGAGATTTTGGAGAAAGATGTGCTTGATTAATTCAACAACGAATACATTTGATTGTGTCAATGCCAATAAGCATTCTCACTCACGGCTCTTTCATTACTGGGTATGTAGGCAGCAAGCTTGAGGATTGCAGAGCAGTATATCCAAGCCTTCAGTAGCATCGCAAAGGAGGTGAAGCATAATAAATACGTTCCAATTTAGTCCATAATCATGCATTATTGATTTGCTAATCATTTTATTTTATGTGTTTTAGGGCACAACATTGTTACTTCCTACAAATGTCTCTGATCCTGCCAGCATGGTTGCTCAAGCTCTTCACATTTACAAAAACTTAACGAGCAAGAATGTTGGCATTGAGCAAACTAAGTTGAAAGTGAGTGATTCATTTGAAGTAATCAACAATGACAGCTTTATTACTGATAAATCGACTAATGAAGATGACGAGACTGATGGAGATGACAAGAAGGATCACTAAGCGCTTTGTCTGACTCATCTATAAAGTAGCTTCACTTTTTAATTAGCCATTATGGATTATCTAGGTTTATATTCATTGACAGTCTAAGTAGATCTGGTCAATGATAGGATTCCTATTCTTTATTATGGACTTGCTTCCACCATTTGTTCGGACTATTGTGTTACTAAGAATGGATATAAAATTACATGATTTTGAGAACATAACGAGTAACTTCATGCAAGCTCCGTAAGCTTTTGACATCTGATTTCAGCATTTTATACTTCAGTAAGCAAAATATCATAAGACGAAATGTAAGAAGCAAAGTAGCAAACCAATCTTCTCAATTTAAGCTTATGAAAACGAATTAATCATTCAAGTGTATCTCCTCTCGTTATTAAGTAGAAAATACTTGCACCATTTCAATAAGTTGGTAGACATAAGAGTATATCTTAATAGTTTAAGAACAAAACAAATAAACTCCACCATCCCAAGCCCACCCTGAAAAGCACAAAGGAGATGATCACCAGACTCCTGACTCCTATCCTCCTGCAAAATAATTGAGTTTGAAAATCTTGAACCCGCATAACATGTTATGTTATTTTTATACAGCGGCGCACAAACCCGCTCCACCCTCCCAACATAATTTCTTAAAAAACTAAAATACTGAATGCGGTATGTTTTTAACTTAAAATTTCTAATTTATTAATAATTGTGTAATATTATTATTTAACTGCTGAAATTAATAATAATACTCTTTTAAACATGTCTGTAACATTTTTTTTGATAGTTTTGAATTGATTACTAACTTCTTCTTTTTTCTAGTTTTTGGCCGTTCCAAGCAGTTTTTTTTTTCATAATACTCTTTTATTCATCATATAGCCAGTGCATAAAACGTGCAAAACTGGTATGAAATGTGAGAATCTACGAATTTAAAAGTTCTTTTCAAACCCGCCCTGCCCCACATGAATTTTGAAAAAAATCTATTTAAACCCGCCCCACAACGACAAAAGCTTTAACCCACCTCGCCCCACAAACACCATAACCTGCTCCGCTCCCCCCATCCCCCACCCCCACCCCAAATTGCCATCCCTACGTAGATATATCTGCTCAAATACTTCTCTAGCTGCAAAGCACATAAAACAGAATACACTTCATCCAAAAAGGGAAAAATTATTTCTTTGACGGGTGATCGTGTCTTAGAATCCTCAATCAAAAGAAAGAGCAATCAACTATATGCTTAACTCACACCCCAGGAATCCCTAGACACAGAGATGAACTTAATGCAAGCTGAAAACAATTGAGAAAATGGTTTATGTTGGATTGGTTGGGTTTGACCCATTGCTCAACCGATCTAGGCCTGAGCATACTTTTGACATATTGAGTCATGACTCTTTCGTTAACTCAAATTGTTTTCGCCAGCCCAATGTAATCAATGTACCCATTATACACCTCTAGAGGATTCTAATTCATGGAAATTCCTCCCAACATGATTTCTTGAAGTCTACCAAGGGAGCATTTATTGATTTCCCTCTGAAGTTATTGTAAGAAAACTAACTGATAACTAGCAAAAGGAGGGATTTTTAAAGTCTAGCAAGGGAGCTTATGTTGCTTTTGCTCTGAAGTTATAGTACGAACTAGCAGATAACAATCTAAAAGAGGTAAACATCAATATTAGATTGAGAATAAAGATCATCAAATTTCTCATGTAATCAAACTCTTCCTACCTTGCTTTCAGCACAATCCATAAATTGAAGCTCTAAACATAATCATTTGTGCGAGGAAATAAAAACAATTAGGCCATAAATTAATAAAGACCAAGATACAAAATATCAGAATCTCCTAGAATTTTATTGATCGCAACAATAAACAAATAATAAATCTGAAACCAACCGTGGATTCCGTTCATATATACAGAAAATACAAACATATATCCAGTAAAATGGATGTTAAAATAACACTATCAGATCTAACCTCTACCACATAATGAACAAATCAACTTGACAGAAACCGCAAAGCAACAAAGTAGACATGATCAAGCTAAAGAAGCCCAAATATTAAAGAAATACCAAGAAATATCAACCAAACAATATGAAACAATAACAGAGCCTGACCCGGAACTGCACCGGACCCTCCATTTCCCACAGTGCAAGGTCCTAATTTGGCAACGCGAACACCAGCACAGTGAGCATCGGGACAACCACACCAGTAGGTAACTCCATCGACACCGCAAACCGGGTCGGGTCGGAAGCAATTGATGGGGCAAGAATCGGTCGGAAATGGAGTTCTAGGGCATTTATCTTCGTCGTCTTGATGAGAAGGTAGTGGATTTAAACCGTTTAAACAGACAGTAATGGACAAAAAGATGACAGCAAATAGCAGAATTTGGAGATGAAATTGGGATTTTCTCAACTCTGATTTCATTGATAAAGCTCCTCTAAAGTCTAAGAAGCTCAATTTCACCAAAATTGATGATACAGAGAAACCCTAATTGAGGAAATCGTGAACCCTAGAAATGATTCAAAATTGGGGGTTTTATGCTGTCAAAAGGAGAAATTTCTTCCTTCTTATCTTCCTTGTATGACTCCGTCCAACTGCAGACAACTAATGAGAAATATTCTATGTATATTTCTCCTCGTGAACTTTCAAAAAAAATACGTTTGATTATAAAATTTTATAATTCAAAAAACAATATAATTTATATTTACAGTGTTACAAAACTTAAAATTTCAGTTTACGATAAAACATGATTAAACACATGTGTGTGATAATTTTATTTGAGAAAATTAAAATAAATAACGTATTATTGGTGAATTATTTAGGTGGGTCCAACCAACGTGTAATTTTTGCAATTTAATTTTGTTATTTTCATACGCTAGCTTTGATGCATTTGAAATAGTTTAGTTTTAAGCATTGACAGACTAATTGTCTAGGCTGGTATGAACAATCCATGTGAGTTTGGGCATTAATGGAATTTTCATATTTGAAGTTCAAGTTTGATTCTTTATAGTTTTTTCCACTTTAAGGCAATCTCTCACTTATGTTTATTAGCTTTTTTTAAAAAATAAAATAAAATATTATATGATCAATCACAATTCACAAGTAAGGATTCAATTATTTTAGTCCATGTTCAATGGAACGGCATTATTCTCAAGTCTCGATCCATAAAATAATATTTTTGATATTCGTGTTTTGCTTAATGTTAATGTTTGTCTAAATATATTTGATAATAATATATATTAGCATGAACCTGCTGCATAAAAACAAACAAATTACGATCTCTAACTTACGTAATGCTCCATTTGGTTATGTCTTAATTATTAATATACAGGTCTTGTGCATGAACTTTAATCATAAAAGATATATTCTCATTAGAAGATACGGATGGGTGTATTTAAAAATTTATACAATGTATAAATTGGAAAAATAAAATAGAATAGAATAATATTTTTATAAATATAAGTACAATAGGTAAGATACTCCTTTTAACATCTATATGAATTAAAGAAAAAAAGCCACAACAAGTCAAAAGAGACTTTTTCTATTTTATTTATACTTTTTTTGGTTTTAAAGATGGGCCATTGCTTAATTTTTAAAAAAGAAATAACTCGATACACTAAGCCTGAAAATGAAAATTTGCTACGTACTATTCAATATTTCGGAACTAATAACAACTCAAAAAGAGATAAAATATGAGGAAGCACATTTAAACATGAAATGAATATTTGCATGTGACATGACTATATATTGTGGCTTGCTAATTAATTAGTATTTCCTTTTGTCTTTTTATTTTTCTTTTTCCTTTCCATCAACTTATACTGAAAAATAAGAAGAAAAAAAAGTTAAAATTAATAGAGAGAGTGTGAAATGACTATAGTGCCACCACCTACGTATAATTAGGGGTTATATGATAAAATTTTAGGGTAAAAGAACGTAAATCATATACTGTAAAGGTAGAATTACTATCTGTCCCCTTACAAGTTTATAGTTATAGAAAATTTTCAAATTGATATAATAATATAAGCGTTGATAATTAATTTGATGCGCGAGACACATTAATCATTACATTACATTCTATACGTGATACACTAATATGATGTACATTTTATACATAATACATTAATCTGATGCGCGACATATATTAATTCGATGCGCTGATACATTAATCTGATGCGTAAAAATAAGTGATTTTGAGGATTTATAAAACTAATAGGGGATAATAGTAATAAGAGAATTTAAACGTGGATTTCTATCATTTTTCCTAAATTTTTATCAAAACAAGTGAAAATCTAGCAAATTATTTAATTACTTACACATTCACCACTTAATTCATAGCAATTAAGTTATATTAAGTTGACATAAATTTGAATTAGTCTGAATCGAATGGATTTCGAATACCAGTTGCGTTTTTTCCTCAAAAAATGACGAAATGTCCACCAACCATATTTTGTAACGAACTCTTTTAAAAACAACAATGGAGGCCTTCACTTTGCCTAATAATCAGCTTTGCCCGTAGAAAAAAAAAAGGCTTTTTTCTGTTGTGTCCACAGCAAGAAAACAGGAGGCCTATCTATAAAACCTTCATTATGTCCTTTTTCTAAAATCAGCCTCAAAATTAATAAAGTTTACAAGCCTTACAACTTTAATTCCTCAATATTAATATTACTCTCTCAAGTTTGATTTCCTGTCCATCTCTCTCGCTCACCTCTAACAAACATGGGAGCTTGTGCGAGCAGACCTAAGGATTTGGACAGGGACTTAGCCCCTGCCCCTGTTCCCGTCGAGGAATCTGTCAGCCCTAAGGCTGACGCTGTTCCTCAGGTATCTTTTTCGTATTAATTCTCTTGCATTTTGCTACTTGAGTATACATATATATATATATATGGACTTCATTGTTTTCTGCTCATAGGCGGATTCAGAATTTAAATATAATGAGTCATGAACGTATGCAATCTAATATGTTTGTCGTATTTCTTTTTTAATTTGTTTTTTTTTTAAAAAAAAGACCTCTTTCCTATTTTGAAAACTCTTTAATTTCAATTTTTCACCTGACATGCTTAAAAGTATTTTGGTACAGTCTCCATACCTTTAGTTTAAGAACACAAAATTCAGAATCAAACAAACAAATTGAAAAGGAGATAGTAAATAAATATACATGTTCTTTTTCATTTATTTTTTTTTAAAAAAATATATATATAGTAAGAATTATCACAGTAAGATAA